TCAGTTTTTGACCATTTAGTATAATGTTGACTGTTAATTTTTCACAGATGTATCAGATTGAGAAGAAGACTATCTTTTCTGATTTTCTGTAGTGTATTTACCATGAATGAGTGTTAGGCTTTGTCAAAAGGCTTTTCTGTACCTGTTGAGATGATCGTGTAATTTTTGTCTTTGACTTTGTTGATATGGTATATTATATTTATCAATTTGTATATGTTGAACCATCCCTGTATTCCTGAGATGAATCCCACTTGGTCATGGTGTATAATCTTCTTGATGATTCGTTGCATCTGTTTGTTTCTTATTGAAGACTTTTGTCTTTATGTTTATTTGGAAGATTGGTCTATAGTTCTCTTTTTTTGGTTGGTTCTTTCTCTGGTTTTGTTATCAGGATATACTTGCCTCTAGGAATGAATTAAGGAGTATTGCTTCCCTTTCAATTTTATTAAACAGATTGAGGAATACTGGTATTAAATCTCTAAATTTCTCATGGAATTCAGCAGTGAATCTATTAGGACCTGGGCTTTTCTTTGTTGGTAAGTTTTTCTTTTTAACTATTTATTTATTTATTTATTTGGTACAGCATCTCACTATGCAGCTTGTACTTGTAGTGATCCTCCTGTCTCTGCCTCCCCAGCTCTGGGGTCATAGGCGTGCGCAACCATGTGGTACCGGGGGTCAAACCTAGGTCCTTGCACTTACCAGGTATGTGCTTAGACTGCTAAGCTATCTCCCCAGCCCTTTGATGGTAAGTTTAATTACATTTTCAATTTCATTATCTCATTCTTGGTTATTCACAATTTTTACATCTTCTTGATTCAGCTTTAGTAATCCATATGTATCTAAGAATCTGTCCATTTCCTCTGTGTTTTCCATCCTATGAGAGTAAAGATTTTCAAAATAAGTATTGATAATCTTCTGAATTTCCACAGGATCTTAGTGATTTCACCCTTTTCATTCTTCAATGCATGATTTTTAGTCTTTTCTTTCTGTTTTTTTTTTTAATAAGGTTGGCTAAGAGTTTATCAATTTCATTTATTCATTCAAAGAACCAACTCTTCAATACATTATCTATATTGTTTTCATAAATGTTAATTTCTCCTCTGATCTCTATAATTTCCTCTCTTGTATGGGCTTTGGGCTTAACCTGTTCTTCTTTTTCTTGAAAATTAAAGTGCAACACTAGGTTGTTTATTTGTGCTCAATTTGTTTTCACAATGTAAGAAATCACTGCTACAAATTTCCCAAATAGAATTACTTTCATTGTGCCCCACAGGTTTTGGTATACTGTATCTCCATTTTCATTTAATTGTAGATATTATTTAAATTCTTTAATTTCATCTGTCAATCATTGGTTGCTCAGGAGGGTATTATTTAATTTGTTTGTGTTTATGGTGTTTCTGCAGTTCTTCCTCTTCGTCTTCCTCCTCCTCCTTTTCCTCCTCCCCCTGACCTTGTCCCACAAGAAGACCACTTCCTAGACAGCTTTGTACAATTCTCATTTTGAGTAGCAACACACACCGGAAACCAACTGAAACTCCCCACGCAGGTGGCCAGGAAAAACCTCCCCCTTCTCTCCTCTAAGCAAAGACAAAGAAAAGCCAAACCCTCCCAAAGGCTGGCAGGGAAGGCCACATGTGGACACAGCAGGCCACCAAGCCGTCTCCAGCCCTGCACTTCCCTCTTCCTGCATAAAACACCACATTGCAGTTATGCCATGGAAAGCAGAAGTCTGCCCACTCTGCCCCACCGACCAAAGGCCAAGTACAGGGAGGAGTTTGATAAGTAAGTACTTAGAGAGCAAATTAACACGCATTTAAATTCTGTTGGGTGCTCCCAGGGTCTCCCACTAGCAGAGCCGTCCTTTTGTGTTTGTAGTGTCACTTCGTATCATTATTGACAAAGTCTGGTTCTCTAACATCCACACTGGGCAGCTCAATCCCACTTCACTGGACCTTGATCTTAAACATCAAATTCACAACAGTCAGCCTCTAAAGGTAGCCGGATTGATTTTTTCCCTTTATCAGAAAAGCAGGCAGGTTGACACTTTACAACTAATGGCATCTTTTTCCAATGAACACACAGGGATTTCATAGAAACTGAGGGCAGCTGGGAAACATGAGATCCAAGACCTCTAGAGTGGCTCCACACAATAGCATGGGCCCCAAGAATCGGCCAGACAGGGCCCTCCTCACCGCCGCCACACACCCAGCTCTGCACAGGTAGGACTGTGGGGGAGAGCACGCTACACCATCAGGAAGGTGACGCAGAATGGGAACTGAAGGACAGCGCGCTGGGAGACTGGGGCCCTCTCAGGCCTGCCTCCTGATCTTCCCCAGGACACAGCCCCACCACGCCCACTGTGCCCACACTATGGTCTGGATGAGTCCACACCCTCAGTCTAAAACGCCAGATGTACACAGACACACTACTAAATATTTCAGCCCTCCTACTGCAATAAATATGCTCATGACCATAAAATATGATTCCAAGAGTGGAAAGCCCCGATTTTGTGCGACTGAATGCAGACAACACAGCAAGCACTGCTACCGAGTATGATATTATTGCAAACCGGAGTATCCTCTGGTGGGCCAGAATGGTTTACGTGAATAACAAAATAAAGACCTCCCTAAGTCAAACATTTTAATCATCTTAGAATATTTATTCTGTTCTTCCTACATGTAAAAAATGATTAAGAATCATGTTGATAAAATCTAGGCTGCCACGTAATTTGTGTCCTACTAATACTAATGCTGAATTAGAATATTATTTGTAACTCAAAAGTTTTAAATAGCTTCTTGTTCCTTTAGAAAAACTTCACTCTGTTGAAACAGTAGCAAATGAAATTGTTAATAAAACTTTTAAAGCAATACTTGAACTCAAATGGACCTTGAATTTTATATATCATATTAAATCAATTTAATGGGTTTGCTCAGGTTAAATTAGTTTTATCTTAGAAAATATTTTAAATGTGATAAAATCACTATCGTTTATATGGCAATACATATTGTATCTCACAGTAATATCATTTCTAGACCTTAACATCTTTTCTTAGATTCCATTTCTTATGCAACCTAAAAAAATGTGAAGAGTGTGGTGTTGTGAAAGCTGTTGAACTTTCTCTTCCTTTGATATTATGCTTCCAGCAAAATGTCCAGAACCTTGTCTCAAAATTAAAAATTAAAAGGAATGGGAGTGCAGCTTGGTGTGAAGGCCCTAGGTTCAATTCCCCAGCAGAAAGAAAAAAGGGAAGAAGGAAGAAAGCAAGGAACAAAAGATGGAAAAGAAAGAAAGAGAGAGAGAAAGAGGAAGGAAGGAAGGAAGGAAGGAAGGAAGGAAGGAAGGAAGGAAGGAAGGAAGGAAAGGAAGGGACAGAGGGACAGGCTGGGGCTATATGGACTGAGTTCAGTTCAACGGCCCTGGCTTCAGTCACCAGTACAGGAAAAGAAAAGAAAGACTTCATCCTCTGTCTTCTTCCAGGCTGTGCAGCTTAGAAGCTGTATGTCCTTGGGTTCTTGACCCCATGTGGCTCTGGTCTCCTGGTTATCACAGTACCTGCCCCACTAGTCCTTCTGGAAGACAGGCTGCTTGCCCCGGAAGCCTCCCAGCCTCATGCCCTCTGCTCCCCCTGGCCAGATCCCACTCCATCCCCTGCTCACTCACATTCTCACTGAGTCACATTTCTGCCAGCTGCATCTACCTGAAGGTGTCTCGAAATCTTCACCCCACTGTGCTCATCTGGCCAGAGGGAGCTGGGTGTCCACCACCAAAGCCACCATCCCACAGCTGCACACAAGCATGCCTTGCTCTTCCTTTCCCTGTCCAATCATTTGTTTTGATAGTGCTGGAGATTGAACCCCACCCCTCAACCATGCCACCCAAGCAGTCTCCCATGGAACCATTTTCACTAAGCTTCTTTTCTGCTGTGTCCACATCCGCCTCATACCAAGGCGGGCCTCACTGTCTCCGCACTGCGATCACCTCAAAGTGGCAGGGGGACACTTGCATGGAATATGGGGCTCAGGGATAAGAGCGCCTTCCAGGAGCTGAAGTCATAACCCACAGACAGGGGGTCTGGGGGAGAGGCTGTTGGTGGCCTCGTGGTTCACTGTGCAAGGCAGCGACCCATGGAAAAAGCAAGAAGGATGCCAGGGTACAGTGTTGGGACGAGTCAGAGTCCTCGTAGCCTAAGAGCTCCTAGCTGTCCCTCTTTCTGCGGCTCCCCCATGAGACCCCCGTGTCTTTTCAGTAAACTTCACACACTTTGAATTTGACTTCCATGCCTGGGAATCAGCAAAGTTGTAATCCACAGAAAATGATACCCACTTGGAATAGTTGTTATAAAAAATAAATGAGATAAAATAATTAACTGCCTAGCATATTAACTGGCATATAACCCTTAGTCAAACACTATTAGCTATTATTTTTCAAAAGATATAACACAATCAATGAACACAATGGCAATAGTGTACAAATCTTTCTTCTTGAAGGTTCAGACTCACTGCAAGGATGCTTTGGTTTGGGATCCTGAAAGAACTGAAGAGAATGCTCCGAGTTAACAGTGCTACCCGGATCTCAAAATCTAATAGAAACGAGATTCCATAAACAACCGTAGTGGGTGGGGGCCTGGCCCTAGCTCAGGCCTTTAAGTGGCTGCTTCCACAAGGCTGTCAGCCTCAGGTTGCTGGAGTTCGAACCTCACACCTCTCCCGCTGGCCAAAAGTGCCCTGAAGGCATTCAAGGAAACAAAAAAAAAAAAAAAAAAACAACCATAGTGGGTGATGAAGACCTCTACCTCGTAACTCAGTTTCCTTCTTGACACACTTGCTCAACGTAAGTGCCCAGGGTGAAAGCAAGCAGATGGCAGCTGCCCATTCTACTTGCCCAAGCATGTGAGAGGAAATCTGACGCAGTCACTACACAAGCAGCTCCCAGCAGCCCTGGCAGAGGACAAGGTGAGAGTCTTCTGGGCAGGCAGGGATGGAAGGGGTGCTGTGTACCTGCAGGGACACCACACTGATGCTGTCCAGGTGCACCTGCCCGTTGGACTCTGTGACGGCGGGGTTGGCGTAGCACATCACCCCGTTGACAGCAGGCAGCGCTTTGGGCTGATGCGTCTTGTCCGGAGGGCCAAAGTCATCCTTCCCGAAGTGCGTGTGATCATTCTACATGGATAAAGGTGACAAGGACAGCAGGGGTATGAGAAGAGGCAAGCTGCCTCACACCGGCTGCCTTTTTACTCCTCAAAAAAAGGCCTGTGTCTGTTCTCCATGTAACCTTTCCAGGTTTATAAAACAGGTCCTTTCCTGTTTCGATTATACAAATGGAATACAAGTTCCACACTGTTCTACAATGTGAAGCCAGAAAGCTTTCCGGCCAGACCTATGCAGCCACCACCACACTCTCCCTCCACACACTTGGGTCTGACATGATCCTGGAGTGAAAGTGCTGCCGCCCACAGCGCTTCTGAGGCCCCACTCACACAGGCCCAAGGAGCCCCCCTACCTGCCCGTAGGTCTTCAGCAACATCTTAAGTGTCCTCTCAAAAAAGAAAAGCATGTAAAATCCGCCAAACACAGCCACCGCCTTCTCGACATAGCTGTCAACTTTGGGATTAAATCCAAATGCCTGAAGGAAGGAGAGGAAAAACAGTTCAGGTCATTTAATTTCATTTAATTACATTTAATGCATAATTTCATTTAATCTTTGGAAAACAATACCATGATTCTTCAGGACAGTTTTTACCAATGTTCTTGGTCTAGCCTCACCACCAGGTAACACTGGGAAGTCACCTGCCAAGATCAGAAATAAGACAGCACATTGCTGGAGGGGCAAAAGGCAAGAGGTGGAGTTGGAAGCATCCAGGGGACCCCAGTGCAGAAACAGTTCATAATCTTAGGACAGGAGGGGACCATAATACGCGAAAAGCCACAGCTTTATACTTTTTCTGCAGTGCAGGGGATTGATTCCCGGGCCTCTGCACTGAGCTATACCCCCAGCTATTTTTTATTTTTATTTTGAGACAGGATCTCACTGAGTTACTAAATTTCATGGGTTGAGCTTCAAGTTGCAATCTTGGTGCCTCAGCCTCCCGGAGCGCTGGAGTCACAGGCATGCCCTGCGTGCCCAGTTCACTCCTTTCCTTGCCCTGTAGCTCTCCCCTCTGGAGCAGGTGAGAGGATGTCAGGGACTTCGCCTTACGCACCCACCTCTGGTGAGCCATACAGCCTGCTCTGTGGCTCCCGTGTGTCCCTTCACAAGGACACAGGGCAGGGGTCACAGAGAAACACCAGCCCTCACTCCCAACGTGGAGGGCATGGAGTCGGACACAGTAACAAAAGGGAAGTGGCTCTGCACACACGCTCTAGACTCTCCAGTACATGTAGAATATTAATTTGGGTTTGGCTTCATTTTGCTTTGTTTTAGAGTCAGAGGTTGAAGGTCATTGCTCTATGTGGGAGACCAGCGCTCCACCACCAAGCCACGCTGCCTGCCCAGCTGGCTTAATTTCAGCCAGAAAAATAATAAACACACATATATATAATATTGCATTCTATTAACTACATTACTACATTATATGACATGGGGCATATAGACTCAGAAAACCCTGTAAGCTGGTACCAGCCCACCATATGGGTAGGGGCAAGTTGATTCATCCCCTGGATTTTAAATATTGTCTTCTTTCCTTTGGGGAGTTTAAAGTAAATGCTCTCTTGGATTCTCTCTAGATCAAGTAACCATATGTGCTGTGACTAAGGAATCATGCCCTCGTTTGTGTGCATCATGAGAATGAAGGAAACTGGGGTTATTCCCAGCCCTGGCGCTCTGTCCAGGCCCGGTCCCTGTGTGTGGCCTCCTCACAGCTCCACCCAGCCCCTCCTGCGAGGTCCCTCTTCCCCCTCCTCAGCTTCCCCTCAGCTCCATCACACCTCTCATCCTGCCCTTCTCCTCCTTTATGGGCACACAGCTATTGTGTATTGATTAACTGAATAGTGCACTGTAGTCAATATGAGGTCAATAGTATTAGAGGAAGCCACTGGGTGTGCATTGATCTGCTATCGTTCTCTTTCTTTAGTTAATAAAAAAGAAGGTTTGTCAACCCAGCTCTCACTTATCCTGTTTTTCTCCAGTGGTAGTAAACATATGGGGGGATTTTGTGGAATGTCTTTATTAAATGCGGGGTGGGGAGATGGCTCAGTAGAATAAGCGCTTCCCTGGCAAGCGCAAGGGCCTGAGTTCAATCCCTGGTTCCGCACAATAGATAAATCAATAAATTAGGCATGGTACATGCTTTAGAAATAAATAATAGCTGGGCATGGTGGTGGATGCCTGTAATACCTGAACTCTGGGAGGCTGAGGCAGAAGGATCCAACCTGAGGAACTTGGCAAATCAGCAGGAACCTGCACCAGCTTTCGTTATAATTTAAAAATACTATGAATGCAAACCTGTGCCATTTTTTTAAATAATTTAAAAGTACTGTGAATGCAGTTAAATATGAAGTTTAATATTGAAGGGTTCAATCCCTAGTACAAAAATGGAAGGAAGGAGAGAAGGAAAGAAAGGAAGAAAAGAAGGAGAGAGAGAGAAACAGATGTGCACAAAAATTAAATCTCCCAAGCTCAGCAGAAGCACCTGAGGCTGGGGCCTGTCTGTGTGTCCTGCAGCCTCCAGCATGTAAAGCCTGTCTCCGTCACCAGCAGGCACAGCAGCTGCAGCCTGGTCCTCACTACAAACTGACTCATCACATACTATGAAGGTTATGGAGGCCACAAATATGCCAAGTGCTAAAACACAAAAAAGAAACAATTACAGAAACAGTCAGCATCCTTACCTCTGGAATAAGCTGGAAAATTGCATTGGAGAAAAGGGTCCCAATAGCCAGCCCCACAAAGTAGGTCAGGATCTTGGGGAAGTAGGACTTCTTCAGGAGCGGTGTCAGGACCAAGCCGAGGAGTGAGGCCAGGTTGATGATGGTCACTGAGAGCAGCCCGTAGCCCCAGACTGGGTCAGAAGGGAGGGAGAGAGCATCAGCTGGGGTCCAGGGGTCTCACCGCAGTGAGCAGGAAGCATCCTTTCAACACATAGCTTGGCAGAAAACCCAGAACATGAATACAGCCCCAAAGACAATAAAGGACATGGCGCCTGTGCTCTGCTGCATCCTGATGCCTTCCTGGGTCACAGGCATCAGGGTCTGCAGAGAACTCGGAGGGCGCAATGCAGGAAGGCCCACTTCTGCAGAGGACAGGCTGACATCCATGGGCCATATGGGTGACAGCAGGGGACAGACAGGTAAGCTGAGCCTGGATGCCACAGTGACCACCACAGCTCACACTGACTGCCGAGAGACTCTGCAGAGCCCCTGAGATCCAGTGGGGACAGGAACCATCAGGGGACAGTAAGATGGTACAGGCACATCTCAAGTCCCTTTTTCGGAGGCTGGCTGATCTGCTGGCCAAGGGCCTCAGTTTCTGCTCCAGGACCCAGGGCACTGGTGTAAGGACCTGGAGGGGGGAAGGGAAGCAGACAGGATGGTGGCCTGCAGCTGTCACCTAAGACTGAGGGACTCTCTGCACAGAGTACAAGAGGAAAGAGGAGGTGATCCTGTGTGGCCTTGGGTACCACCCCTGAGGACCCTAGTACCCGGTTCTGCTTTGGACAACAGCAGCCTCAGAGAACACATAGTGACACCACCACGGGCCTGTGCCCAGGGTCGCATGAGACAGCCCCTAGGTTTCCTTGTGGCTGGGAAAGGGGACACTGCTACCACCTTCTCCACACAGCTAGGGAAGGGAAGCCAAAGGACCCCAGCCATGTAAGCCACCAAGTCACAGACAGAGCCAGACCCCAAGCCAGGCAGCCAGGTGATGGGCCACACAATTCAGTAAAGTGTGGACTGCACCTGCAGGGGTCGCCTTGCTCCTGCTCCTCAGGGACTCAGAAGCAACAAAGAGTGTTGTCTTCAGGGATGCCAAACAAGCCCCTGCCATTCTGTCCACAAAACCACCCAGCAAATGCTCTCAGACCCAGGACCTGGACCGCACCATGGCTCCTGTCAACAGGCAGCACACAATGCTCTGTGTGTGTGTGTGTGTGTGTGTGTGTGTGTGTGTGCACGCGCGCACGTGCATGCAGGTATGTCAAGCTCATGCACAAGTGCCAAGCACCAATAAGAAGCACAGATGATAAACAGTGCTGGGGAGCCACACAAGTTGTCACAGTGCTCACTAGGGGGACTCTCTCCTTTCACATGCCCTCTTATCAGCCTCAGGCTGCCAGGACTCACCGAGTTAGCAGCCTCCCCCTCGTTCCATGTCCTGCCTTGTCACCTACCAGCCCTGCCCCTGCCCTCAGATTTCTCTTGGAGAAAGCTCTGAGCCCCATGCATCACCCACAATGCCCTCCACCTGCAGCCCGCAGCCACGATCCCTCATCGGGCCCGCACGCATTCCCCCAACCAACACCCACTCTCAGTGCACAGACAGGACACACACATGTTGAAAACAAAAATCAGAAGGTAAAGACATGCTTGAGTGGCAAACGAAGGCAAGTCCATAGCCACACTCTCCTGGAGTGTGTCAGCTCCCACACTCGTCCACAGATGCTGCACACAGCAGACACCAGGACCAACGCCATTCGCACACTATCCGCCAGCCAGGTCCACAGAAGACTGGGGCCAGACCCTGCCCATCAGCCTCTGTGGCCCTGCTGCCCTGCAGGGATACAGGCCTGAGACCCTTGGTGGAGCAGGACAATGCTCCATCTTGTCCGTTGCCTGAGTTCTACCCCAACACACCCAGGACCAGCTCGCACCGCTCTTCCCAGCTGCCCCTCACAGGTGCCTCCTATGTGCCTGCCAGTGTCACCCACTCCTTCCTCACAGGCTCCCCCCAGCCCCAGTGCCCCACACACTGCAGTCCTCCATCTGCCAGCACCAGTCCAGCTCTCTAAGCTACTGCATGGCCTCGCACAGCCTCTGCCAAGCTCTGCAAGCTCCTCAGAGCCCTGCATTCGAAGCTGATTTTCAATCACCACACCCTATGAGTGCCACAAATTCTATCCCTGGTGGCTCTGTCTACACCATATGAACAGTGGCATTTTCAAGAAGGGGCTATGTCTAATTCATTCTCAATGCCTAGGAAACTAGCCAGCAAACAGCACCTCTGTTTGCTGAATAAGTTCACAAGTGCCCCTTCCAAGGCACATGGAACCCAGTCCAAAAGAGTCAACCCCTCTGCTTGGTCAGCCTCTCAGGGTCCTGGTGCACACAGCCACAACCTGTGGGAACTGTGGGAACTACAGGAGCAGAGGTGTCCACGTTGGGGCTGCACAGGCCCCTTTCTTGCATTGTCAAGACACAATTTTTTTTAATTTTTTAAAGAGAATACAAAGTAGTAATAAAAAAGAAAAATTTAGAAATGATACAGAATTTCACTAAACAAAATAACAAATTCCACAGTATTTGTTCTATTGCAGTGTTGTTTTCAAATTAGTTGCTCTGCTTACCAGACATATGCATGCAAAATTGGAAAAAGAAAACAAATGTGAGAAATTAAGAAGGGAGAAAAAAGAAGACAAAAATTAAGCATTAGCTGCTCCTTTCCATAGACCAGCAGAAATCCACAGTGCAGTTATCCAAGCCATCCTGCTTCTCTGCATAGATATATCTCTTTTCCCCCTCTACTCTACCTGGACCAAAGAGGAAGCTTGGATGAAGTGTCCCTTGACCCTCACCCTGTACACATACGACTGCCTCTTTCAGAGACGGTCCCTCCTCCTCCTGTCTAAGCCCTGCCTGAAAGATTTCAATAGACATTGAAGCCACGTCAGTCATGGTGCTCACGCTCACCAAATGCCCACGCGTGCTCACATTTACCCAAGAAGTGCTCTTGCTCACAGAGCGAGCACACGGCTCTATGTAGTGGGCATTATTCTCACCCCCATTTTGCAGATGAGGAAACAAGACTCTGCTATCATCTCATTTTATATCCACACACATCCCAGACTTCAATTTGGACGCCCATGAAAAGCTGCACAGAATAGCAATGGCAGGGCAAACTGGACAGGGGCTTGGTGCTGAAACCTGGGTCATACCTGGATGGGCCTCTGCTGCTCTAAGCTTGTCTTCTTAACATTTAAAACACAAACTAAAAGTGGTTCCTATCTCATGGAGATTTTATAAGAATAAAACCAGGGCCGGGGAGATGGCTCAGTAGAATAAATGCTTGCCTGGCAGGCACAAGGGCCTGAGTTCAATCCCCAGTTCTGAAAAAAAAAAAAAAAAAAAAAAAGGAATACAACCAATTAACACTGTTCCTTCCTATAAGTGTTCAATAACTATTGTTTATTGTCGTTTCAAAAAACTATCGTAGCCACCTAAGAGTCAGCCCATTCAGCTCATTGTTACACGGGGAATAGAACAAGCTGGCTTTAGGAGCCCTGTGCTCTCCTCTCTGCCTGGGTTCTGCGTGAGGAAGATGCTCCACTACTCTGGAGTGGGGACTGTGGCTTCGGCTGTGCTGCAACACTGGACAGGAAGGCCAGTCAGATAGCTCATTGGATTAAAGCACCTGCTTAAGCAGACACAGGGGCCGGAGTTTGATCCCCAGCCTGCCATGCGGGCCACACCCCTGGGGCACACTAAAACTGGGCATGGTGGTGGTACCTGTAATCCCAGCACTTGGGAGGCTGAAAAGCAGGAAGGATCGCTACAAGTCCAATCTGTGCAATGAGACCATGTAGACCCTGCACTAAATACATTAAAAAGAAAACCACTCAACAGGATGATCTTCAGGATGCCTCAAGTAACATCCTATTGTTAGTATCTATTTTCTGAATTAAGCAGTATTCTATCAATTCATCAAAAATATGGCAATTTTGGACCATTAAATTATTGCTAAAATGGAAGAATTATCTCTTTTAGAGAAGTTAAGGGACCATCAGGTTATTGTAGTCATCAGTATAATTTTATAAAGTACTTTTTTTAAAAAAAAAAAACATTTATTTATTTAGTGTGTGTGTGTGTGTGTGTGTGTGTGTGTGTGTGTGTGTGTGGCCAGCTCAGCCCACCAGGGGGCGGGGCTGGCTGGCATGTGGTGCTGGGGGATTGAACCGGGGTCCTTGTGCTCTGCCAAGCTTGTTCCAAGTAGGTGCTTTAGACCACTGAGCCATCTCGCCAGCCCCTTATAAAGTACTTTTAAAAAATCATAAAATGTGAGCTCTTGGAGAAACAAAACTATTTCACCCATTCACTAGAGTGTTGGTCAGAAAACTCTTGTAATCTGACTCTTTGGATTCCTTTAATTTTGACTTTTCATTTTTTTGAATGAACTCAGACACTGAACTAGGAAGTAGTATCATATCACAGTCCACCACATCTAAGTATTTCTTAAACATTTCTTGATGGGGAAGCAGCATTATCTAGGGGCAAAGGAAGGAGTGAACCTGTGAACACAGGAGCAAGCAGATCAAAGCATCAGCTGCTGACTCTGCGGCCGGCACTGCTCGGGCCACTTCACACATACCAACTCATTAAAAAGCACCAGAATTCTAAAAGAAAGGTATTATCATTAGATGCATTTTTACAGAGGAGGGAACTGAAATGGCTGAAGATTACACAGTTGCACTAAATCAAAACTAGTAAAAAACATCAAAAGGACTAGCTGGGTATGGTGTGTACACCGATAGCCCCAGGCCCTGAAGGGCTGCGGCAGGAGGGATGCACATCAAAGCCCGGTGTGGGCAACTCCATGAGACCCTGCATCAAAGGAAAAATAGGAACAGTGCTGGGGAGGTAGCTCAGTGCACAGACCCTGGGTTGGGTCCCCAGTACCAAGAAAAGAAGCACCACATTCTTGCCAAGTTAACATCTTAGAAAGTAGAATGTTCCCTTTTGTTTATTGGATCCTCTGCCCAACATTCAGTATCTTTCTGATCTTGGAACGGAATTGTTGACTTTTTCAGCTTTATGGCTTTGTAGTGTTGACCTTAGACTTCTTTCTCCTACTTCCTGTTTCCTGCTTCCCTGTTCTCACCTCCTGGTTCATGAAATGGAGTCAAAAACACCTGAGCCAAAGGAGTTAAAAACACTTTTGAAAATAATAATTAACCTGCACAAAACGTTTTTCTTTTGCTAAACCCTCATTTCCTGGAATTGTGTACAGGTTGGATATACTTTATTTATTTAAGAGACCTAATATAGCACCTCACCTTGTGCCAGATACTTGCTTATTTTAGGTTTATGTTTCTTGTGGGCTGTGTTTCTTGATTCTGTAACATCAAACTCCAACTCTCGGCCTTTGTCCTTTCAACAATGGATCATCTCCTTGTCATCTTTGTGTGTGTGTGTGTGTGTGTGTGTGTGTGTGTGTGTGTGTGTGTGTATGATCTTTTAAGTGTTTTAATAGCAACACTATGGCAAAGGAACTATTTTAAATGAAACCAGGCAGAAAGAGGTTAAAGTCATGTGCTCAACACAGACCTGAGACTTGAGCTGCCGTGGGCTGACCAGAGAGAATCTATGCTTACAACCAGCAAAGGTTAGCACACAACCAACAAGGTATTTGCTGAATTTATTTTTTTAATGTATTTGGTACAAGGTCTCACTACGCAGCTCAGACTCAGTGATCCTCTTGTTTTCAGCCTCTCCAGGGCTAGGATTACAGGTGCCCGACACTACGTGCCCAGATTCTGGCCAGCTCAGCTCTGGCCTGGCCTCCCTCTTGGGGCAGGGCTGGCACAGCATGTGGTGCCGGGGGTCAAACTGCAGTTCTTGTGCTGCTCTGTTCACTCCACAAGGGCCCATTCTCCCCATCTTCATCCCCGAAAACGCATCTCTCTGGCTCAAGCCATGGCTCCTCTTCCTCTCCCACATCCAATCCTTGGACAAACAAGCTCAGTGCAGTCACCCAGCCCACCCTGCACCCACCCACTCACAGTATCCCCATCTTGGCCTGGGTCCCGGAGGCCTTGGACAGCTGCCCTGACACAGCCTCCTCCCAGTCTCTCAGCTGCTTCTATTCCCATCCAGATGGGAATAAGATCATGATGCTAATGTTTGCACCCAGTGTGCCTTCACACTGCATTCCAAAGAAAATTAGCCCCCCTACACCCTTGCCTGCCCGTCACTATCCCAGCCTAGTCCACCTGCAGGACATGGTCCCTGGACCCACTGCCTACTGTGGCCCTGGCCACCCCGCTCCACACCCACAGGGGATCGGTGCTCCCTCAGCCAGGCCTCAGCAGGGAGGCTGTCTCTGCCACCTTGGGCTCATGCCCACTCTGCCTCTGCTACCCACTTTGTCTCTGTCTTAGCATGAAGCACTCTGAGAGGGCACTGTTGGTTTACTTGCTTCTTTAAATATGCGTCATTCTCTACATTATAAACCCTAGGAGGGCAGAATATCCTTCCTGTTCAATACTGAACCCTCAGCGTGTGCAGAGAACACTGCTCAGGGTGGTGCCCAATAAACATGTACTTAACAAATAAATGGGTAAAAATTAAAACACCCATTGGTGGGGGGGGGGCACAACTTACCAGTGCTGTGATATCAAGGAATTGTGTGTACCTGGCCAACAGAATCCCCAAGCACTGACTTTTATGTGGACCACTGTGTTCATTTACATGTTTGTATTCATGAGTTGTGCAGTAAGTAAGCATTTGTTTTCTCATATTTCAAGTTTTCTTCAGAGCAGATTATCTCTTTACAATGCGGTGTCTACAGTGGCACATTTTAGACCCTACGTGTCATCCCCTGAGGTGTAAAGGAGACTGAGGAGTCAGTGCACCATCACCTCGATAAACTGACCAGCTTTAGACAGCATCTATGAAAGGCAGTAGGCATGAATGATTAGTAAGGAGCCCAGTGGTCTGTCTGCACTCTGGTATGCACAGCATAAACGCACACTTGCTAATCCCAGGACTCATTCCATGCTGCTATAAGTGCACTGGCTATAATCCTGAAGAGCAGCCTTAGGAACCTGAACCAAGTCTCAAACCTCCAAAGCACTTTCAAACCTGAGTATTCCCTTGTCTCTGTTTCGTTCCCCTGTGTCTCTATCTCTCGCACGCTGGACAGTTGCTCGTAGCATCTTCCATGCCATCTCCACACAGTCTATGCAGACCAGACTGCAGAACTGCATGGCATGAACAGGCAAGCCCAAGCTTCCTCCCCAGGCTGACCCCAACCCCAGGAGTGGGCAGCACACACCTTGTGACAGGGTGGGCTTGGACGAGGGCCTGGACTCAGTCTCACAGGGGTGGAAGGTCAGCTGCTGCAGCACAGCCGGGCAAACGCTGGGGAATTCAGCGCTGGTGATCCGAGTAGTGTTGGAGAAGCCATGCAGGGTGAAGATCTCCTCAGCCGACAAGCACTGAAACACAGGGACCCGGGGACGGACACCTGTTAACACGGCAGAGTGGCCACAGAGGGGCTACATAAGGCACACAGTGCTCACGCCTCTGCTGCAGACTGCATCCCAGATGGTGGAGCCCGGGGGGCGGGGGATCCAAGTGGACACAAGCAAGTGCTCAGCCCAAGCGACTACGGCAGGCAGCACAGAAAGCTGCTGGGGTGCCAAGGCTCTTATGGACCGCAGAAAAAACAGATGGCTGGGTGTAGCCAGGGAGAGCGCCTGCCCGGCCCACATGGCCCTGGGTCAGTCTCCAGCACTGCAGGTAATGCACACAGCCACACACTGCTTTACACACACACACACACACACACACACACACCACGCTGCTATAATACACTGCTACAACACACCCCTATACACTCTTATACATATGCACTGCTATACACATTCTCATATACCCATGCACACTTACATTCCTACACACTCACACACTGCTCTACATACACTCCTCCTTACACACTCACACAAATAAATAAAACACACCAACCACATTAACAAAAGGCTTTAAGGTGACTACATTCTCAATCGTCCCCTTCAGTTTTGTTTTCATTGACATTTTGTGGGGGCCAGTGGGGAGGCTTCGCATAATATTTCTGATAGAAAACACCTGATTCCTCAGTTTCCCAGTTAGGAAATTCATTTTCCTGTGCAAAGCAATAATAATTCTGACATATAAAACTTGTTTTAAAAAATTTGGGAGACAAGATCTGGCCAAATAGCTCAGCGGATTAAAGCACTGGCCAGCAGGTGCAGGGGCCAGAGGTTCAATCCCCTGGCCTGCCGTACCGGCCCCACCCCCGGCGCGCACTGAGTTGGCAATTAAGACTGGGTGTGGTGGTGCATGCCTGTAATCCCAGCTCTTGGGAGGCTATAAACAGGTGGATCACTAGGAGTCAGATCTAGTAGTGAGGCCCTGAGTGCCCTGTGGACTTTTCCCTAAAATACAAAAAAAAAAAAAAAAATGGGAGGGACAAAGTAGTATTTCCTAAAATACACATTGTACTCAATGTCTGTGGGTAGTTTCTCTGTATTATGTAAAGCTTTGAAAATAGTCCTGGACTATTCAAAAATTCAGTAACTTAATGACGAGTGGAATCTGAATTAGAAGAAAACTCTATAAAAATAACTTTTATTCCAAGTGATAATGATTGAACTTCACACATGCTAGGCAACCTCTATACCACTGGCCTATATTTCCAGCTTTTTTATTCTGTTTTGTTTCATTGGGGGGGGGGGCCTGGGGTGTTTTGTTTTGGCGGAACCAAGGATTGAACTCAGGCCCTTGTGCTTGCCAGGGAAGCGCTTATTCTACTGAGCCATCTCTCTGGCCCAGGGTTTATTTTTGAGACAGTGAATCACTTGGTTGCCCAGCTGGCCCTAAAATTGCCATCCGCCTGCCTCAGCCTTCTGAGTGGCTAGGATCATGTTATAGGCATGTACTGTTCAGAAGAATATAAATACAATATTAATATATCTTAGAATTGCAGAATATGAAAAACATCTGGCTAGTCAAGCAGCAGCATCTGTCTTTAATAAACCAATACAGTTGGCAATGGCTCTCTGGAGCTGCAGTCCACAGTTAACTCCTATAAACCTCAGCAGCCACATGCTCCAGACTACACTGTGTCCCTCTTGGCTCATGAGTGGCAGCCCTAGTCCAAGAGGGCGGGGGAGATTCATCCCCTAAGAGAGGTTCCTCAAAATAAGGGACAGCACAAATTTTCTGATCAAGAAGATTATGGGGCCAAAGAGGAAAGTGATCGATGATGTAGAGTGTGCCTAAGGAGAGTCACATGGAGAGAAAACACTCTCTCAGGCTTTCACAGAGAGCACACTGGCCAAGAAATGGCCGTGACTCATCCACATGGCTGACACTGACAAAGGTTTTACAATCTGAGGTACAGGATCTCAGGATAAATCCTGAGGGGATTTCACTGACCTTCTCAGACCCAAAAGCTACAACTCTTGGTGCATAGGTCCTGCTTTACATTGGCCTTAACCACCCAGTAGAAAAGTATGAAGATGAAATATAGGAAGTAAAGCCATGCTGTTATGTTGAGCTGTGGGGGACTCAGGTCAATAATTTCTGACATTGCCAGTTAAACAGAAGTCCCAATGCTATTATGAGCTACTGGACTCTTTTAGAATATTTTGCTGAGTTTACACACCTATAATATTCAAATAACGGAACTTAGAAAAAAAGGGGTATACAGATGAACGTCCATCTTGTATCTGTATTCAAAGTGGTTAGGATAGATATATAGTTACATTCTCTTAATGAATAGAATGATTTGTTCTAATGGTGTTTGTAAATAGTATCTCAAGTCTGCATCTTGTACAGCAATTAACCACTAAGAAGAATATATGCAGTGTGTTAGTTATTGAAACTGTCTTACCAATTTGATTTGAAACTGTCTCATTGCTATCTGTTTATCAATAAAATTATAAAAAAAAGAATAAGGGACAGCAGGGCCAGGGGTAATGGCCCTCACCTGTAATCTCAGCACTGTAGAGGCTTAGGCAAAAAAATCAGAAATTGAAACTCAACCCAGGCAATTCAGGGATTGTCTACAAATTAAAAATAAAAGAGCCTGAGATGTGACTCAGTGTAAAGGTGTTTGATCCTCAGTAGTGCAAAGAAAGAAAAAAGAAGGAAACCCAAGTGCTTGCTCCTTGCAGTGAGGACAGTCAGAAGGGGGCATCTGCCACTCAGAAGCAAGTCCTCTTGGACAGCAAGTCCTCTGCCACCAGCCTGGACTTCCAGCCTCTGGAACCAACAGAAAGTAATTCCTGTGAATTGTGTCACCAGAGACGGGCCAGGAAATCCCCAACACAGAGGTGAGACCTCAACTTGGTCGGCTGGCTAAGCTGGTTCTCATCTCTCATTGCAGGAAAAGAACCTCAGGACATACTGAGAGCTGTGAACGGATATTGGCAGGTGGATGAAGGGCCCCTCAGAGGAGGGGTGCAGGCCTCGTGAGCACCCCTGTCCAGGCTGGGGATGTCTACGGGCTCAGGGTGTCCCTGCAGATGGTGACATAAGAGGCTTTGCTCAAAACCATCCCTTGCACCTCTGAGCCTCTTTCCACCCCACCAGTGGCAATGTTTCCCATGTCCACTCAGCTAGTATGTGGGCTCTGAGTAGGGCAGACCTGGAGGAAAAAGCAGACAAGTGAGCCCAAGGTCACAGATGTCAAGGCAGCCATCAATAACCCAGTCACTTGTGTCCTGGAGCTGCAGTTTCCTTAGAAGTACAATTTTTGAAGTGACTGTTCTCTCTGTCTCCACTCTCCCCATCTTTATTACTTCTGTCCTGAGCCCCCCATGCCAGGGACTCCCCAACAGCAGCCTGGAGCCAATTGTCACACTGTGAATGGTTTTGAGAGCCCAAGAGCTCACAGCAGGCAGCTATTTAGCTGCAGTTCCCTTCAGGACAGAAACAAGGAAACTTCAGATGTCAGGTTTTGGTACAACAGGTCCCAGAGGCTTAGCCAGGAAAAGTGAAAACATCAGAAGCACGTGACAGTCAGAAGCCGGGACTGCAGTGCCTGTGCGGAACATACAGAGAGACATTTTCCTTCCATGGCCAGGCCTGGGTGCAAGCAGCTCCTCATTCAGCCCACTCTGTCCTCTGGGGTGTGACGGTGACAGTGACAGCAGGTCCAGCCCTGCACAAGGAGGCTCAGCGTGCTGTCCTCTGAAGTCCTCCCTGCAGCTCAAAGCGGAGGATCCTGAGCTAATAGACCGAGAAGACAGCCACAGTCAGCTGGGGAAGAGAAGGTGGGAGTAGTCTGTCCATCCCTGGGAAGAGTCTGAGGCATAATTGCCAGACTCAGGTCCTTCTTGCACCATAAAATAGAAGGAAGGGGGCCATAGGGGTGCTGTGCACAAGGACACTCCATGGACAGACAAGACCTGAGCCTTGCACTGCCCCTCTGGGGGCTCAGGAAGTCACCCTGCAGGGACACACTGAGCACTTCTTTCTTTAGGAGATGAAACTCAAAACTCAAGCTGACCAAAACTACAGGTGCACCCAGGACACTGGGAGGGAAGTCACTCCTTTCACCATGTCCACACATGGTCAGAGCATGATTTGATTCTGACTGGGACAGCAACAAGAGGGGACCCAACTGCGGACGCCCATCTCATTCCATGGGAGCTGGCACAGACCAGCAGCATCCCTGGGATCTGTGTGCAGCAGCCCAAGTCAGCAAGCAGGTGGCCAGGACGATGGTGCTGAGACAGGACAGCTGCCCACCAACCAGGAAGCTTCAAAGGCGTGGGCACGACAAAGCCCCAGGCCTCGCCTGGGAAGAGAATAAGAACAGAAGCCCAGGGGACAACAGGAGCTCCCTGCACAGAGCACCGCAGTTGGACCCCTCCTGCTGGGCTTTCATCTTGACTTGTTCTACGCTTTGACTATAAAACTCAAGCCACAACCAGAGAGCACCTATCTAGGGAAGCGCAGCGCAGCTACCACCGGGACAGACAGGTGGGGCCACGCACATCAGGGGAGCTCTAACACCAACGGGGGGGTGGGGGGGATGGTACCCTGCAGACACAGCCAGCTATACACCCAGGGCCACATGATGGGAAGCACAGCACCAACAGGACACTGAAGAGAGACCTCAGGCACCATGCTGAGTAGCAAGGACCTCCACAATGAGCAGGGCACACTCACCAGGGATATCCCATGGGTCTGAGGTGCAGGACACCAGGGAAAGGTAGCCAGGGACATTGGGTCTTTCACCCTTAGAAGCCAAGCCCCAGTCACTCACGGAGGTGCTTGCCAAGCAGCCCCTACATCACAGTCCCCACTCCCTCCTGCTCCTGCTGACCTCCCAGAAGCCTCTCTGCTTCTGCCCAAGCTTGCTCTGCAGAAGTGCTGTCCTGGGGAGCAGAGCTCACATGCATACCCACATCTGAAGTCCATGGATGATTATGGTGAACCCTGGGGG